GAAGCATCTAATAGTATTGTTGATGTTTAAATTCCAATTGCTTGCTGGTAAAAACCTTTTTACATAGCAAGCTTCTGAAGTAAACTGAAGTAAACTTGTGAAGCTTTTGGCTTACTTACCCTACTTTTTCTTGGTAATTCCTTCAATTCTTTATTACTCTTGGGTTGGTGAATTGAAAACCACCGGCTATTGTCATATGTGACAGTTTGAGCACTTTCTTCAAAAGAAACCCATTTTGGTGTCAATGGAAAAGTTGTAGAGAATCAAAAATCAAGCTTATATCCTAATTTTCAGAACGATTCAAAAACTGGTTTTGAAGAAATGCGAAATTTACGAATTCACAAATTTCATTTCACAAAACTTGCATTTTAAGCGAAACTACTAAGTGTATCTTTTTGGAAATTTGGCTATAAGCCTCATTTTTGATTCTCTACAACTTTTCCATTGACACCAAAATGGGTTTCTTTTGAAGAAAGTGCCAACGTCCCGTCCTCCTTGTCTCCTTCTCACAAACCAACAAGAACCCAATCGGGTCAATAGAGTTGAGGATCAAATTGGCTTTGCCAATTCAAAAGATACACTTAGTAGTTTCGCTTAATGCAGTTTGTATTGTAATTGGCTTTCTTGAACCAGTTTTGATCGTCTGATTTGGTATGCTTGTTTTTGTTCTCTACCTTTCCATTGCACCAAATGGGTTTCTTTTGAAGAAAGTGCTCAAACTGTCACGTATGACACTAGCCCGCAGTTTTCAATTCACCAATCCAATAATTTGCATTCATCGATCTACACGAGAATTGTTGAATTTGAGAAGAAAAGAGAATTTTGGAGAAAGACGATTCTTTAAAATGTTGGATTCGAATTTCCGCCGTTTTATTCATTTAGAATTTTTTCAAAAGGAAAATGCAGCTTTTAAAAGATTTGTTTATGATTTAATGTAAGATTATGTTAACAATTGTGATCTTCTTTTGTGAATTACTTAGCCTCAAATTTGACACAACAAACAACTCTTTAAGAATCTAATTGATTTCAAAATAGGTTACTTCTTTGAAAACTTAAACTTTCAAAAACAATGGCAAAGGCGAATGATAACTCGATTCCATAATCTAAGCGATAAAGGATTTGAAATGCAATTGCTTAAAACATTCTCTCGAAATAACTCTTCCAAATCAATGAACATCTCTGGAATCCCCTTTTCCCCCAAAATCCCACTCTCTAATTCAGATTTTTTAAATCCACCCGCTTGTAAAAATATTTGAGGAACACTCTTTTTTTGAAAAAATGGATAGAGAGTGATATTGGATCGAGATTTGGATCGAGAATTTTACTCTCTTCCAGTCTCTCCTCATCTTTTCACCCATAAATACTTCCTCTTTTCCAATCCAAATTGAGATTTCAGATCTCTCTTCAGACATTTTTTTTTGCAAAACTTCATTCCTTCATTCCGAAACTTCCGAAATTTTGTTTTGACCACTGGGTTTTAATTAGCTCGGGTTTTGAGGTACTGATTTAAACTTGAAACTACTGAGGAAAGGCTTTACCGTTTGAAATCTATTCTACTTTCATACAAAGCTCATTGAAATCTTAGCTGAATGGGATTGTAGATGAAAAGCTGAAGCTCTTCGAACGGATAAATGATGTAATAATTAAAGTAAGAAAGTCAATTTATCAATAATTTGCTAGATATAAAAAGATTAAAAGATAAAGATTAAAAGATAAAGGATTAAAATGAAAATCCGCTTTTCAACCTTGATCACCTGGCTGTTTTGGTTTAAAAAAAAGCTGTAGAAATTGTAGAAAAGATATAGCCAAATTTAAGAGAAAAATTCATTCTAAAAGTTTGAGTATAGTCATTCCAAAACACGAGTGAATCGGCTCGGTCTTTTCTCTTTACGGATTCGAAAAGGG